CCGACGCTGACGAGCTCCTGGGGGAGCTGTTCCTGGAGGAGAAGATTCCCACGGCTGCACAGTTAAAGGTACCTCCCTCCCTTGGGCTGCCTGTGCCCTCGTCCCTCAATCAGCGTGTCAGGAATTCTGTTTGCTGGAGCTGTGTCACTGCAGCTGAACTCCAGGCTCCCCCAGGGAGGAGGAGGTTGTTCCCAGTCTGTTGGAGAACTCTGGAGAGCAGGTTTTATGGGGAGCCCTTGTGTTGGGGGGTGTCCAGGGGACTGTGGGAGCAGCTCTGTGCTCCAGGAGAGGCCCAGGGCAGCCAGGGCATTGGGCTGTGCTGCAGGAGGGGCTCACAGGGATGTTTTTCAGCTGGCAATCCGGAGGGCAACGCTGCAGAAATCCTTCACCCCTGTCCTCGTGGGAAGTGCTCTGAAGAACAAAGGGGTGCAGCCACTGCTGGATGCTGTCCTGGAATACCTTCCCAACCCTGCTGAGGTGGAGAACTACGCCCTCCTCAACCAGGGGTGAGTGCATCCAGCAGCAGCAGGGGTGTCCAGAGTGCTCTGGAGTGTCCCTGCCCATGGCCCTGGATGGCCTTCAGGGACCCTTCCCACCCACACCACTCTGGCTTTCCATGGAATAGTTTCAAAGCAGAAACATTCCTGACAGGATCCACAATCCTTTACCATTGGTGTCAAACAGTGCCACCAGCATTGGGCACAAAATCCCAAAGCTCCTCTCTCATTCAAGGGTTACTCTGTGCTGGGGTTTTACCACATTCAGTGTTGCATTTGGACAATGGAAGATAATTCTTTAGAATTAATAATAATTCAGATAATTCTTTAGAATTGATGGCAGCCCTTAAAGCATGGCCTGCCTAGAGGAGGGAGCACATCCCAAATTGTAAATAGTGTTTTATTCTTATGGACATGAATCCCAGAACCCCTGAGGCTGGAAAAGAGCTCCAGGATCTTTGAGCCCAAGCTGTGCCCAGTCCTCCCTTTGTCACCCAACCCAGAGCTCTGAGTGTCACCTCCAGGAATTCCTGGGACACCTCCAGGGATGGACACTCCAAACCTCCCTGGGCAGCCCCTACCAAGGCCTCACCACCCTTTCCATGGGGAAATTCCTGCTGATTCCAGCCTGAGCTGCCCTGGCCCAGCCTGAGGCCGTTCCCCCTGCTCCTGTCCCTGTCCCTGGGAGCAGAGCCCACCCAGACCTGTGAACCCCAACAGCAGAGCCTGTCAATGTTTAGGGGAAGCTCCTGTGTTGGTTCCTAACCTCTCCTCCCTCTCATCCCTGTTTCTCAGGGATTCTCAGGACCAAACCAAGTTCCTGTTGAACTCTGCTCGTGACGATTCCCAGCCTTTTATCGGCCTTGCCTTCAAGCTGGAGGTGAGTCCCACTCTGCTCCTTCCACAGTCATGGAGAGAATCCAGGTGGTGCTACCAAAACTCACCCACAGCAGACTTTTAAATCACTTAATACTGAAAAGCAGTTTATATTTGACTTCAATTGAAATTTAACTTCTTTTTTTAAAAAAAAGGCTTCAACCCTAAAATCCATAAACTCTGCCAGTTTGGAACTTCAGGGTGGGTTCTGGACCTCAAGTATTTCCTGATTTTTTTTAGTTAAAACTTGAACATCTAGGGGGTTGTTGGCTGAATTGAAATATTTTCAGGGGAAAATCCTGCACTTGGAAACAATGGGACATGAGAGAGTCAGAGAGGAAAAAGTGCAGAGATTAAGGCAAATAAGTTGTTTGCTACTTAGAGAGCAGCACTTCAGGAATCCTATGGAATATGCAGAATGGGCTGGCCACGTTCCATGGTAACGTGTATCTCTTGGGAAGGTTTGGGAGTGAAAAATTGGTTCAGAAAATTGCCAAATTCCATTGCAGAGCCAAATGAAAGCTGTTAAGAATCTTTCATTCCATGAGTAGTGTGGAAACTCAAACCACATTCAGTCAGTGCAGCTGGTGCTTGGAATGGGTGCTGCTGATGCCTTGTGCAGGCTGCCCTGGAGCAGAGGCTGGGCAGAGTCCCAGAATAAAGCAGGGATTTATCCAAAGCATCTCCTCCATGGATCCACCTTGGGCAGCACCAGAGCCCAGCCAGGGCTGCACCCAAGATGACCCAAAATGGCCCCAAAATGCACGAGCGCTCCCGGGCTCTGTCCCTGGGATCAGCTCTGCTCCATTTGCACCTTGCAGTTCATTGTCCCATCCCAGCTTTAGCCCAGGCAGTCCCACCCTGCTTGTTTTTCTCTCTGCAGCCCACGGGGTTTGTGCTCCTGGGCTGAGATTTGGGTCATTTGTCCTTGGTGCCCAGCTGGAGCAGGAATTGTTTTGTCTCCCTGCTCAGCATCCCTGAATGTGAAGCTCAGAACTGCACACTGAAGCAGCACAGAATGTGAAACACAGAAAAGCTAAACCTGAGGCATCAGTGGTTCCCAGAATGACCAGATCTTGGTGGGTTGTGCTTGCAGGCTGGCAAGTTTGGGCAGTTAACCTACGTCAGGGTGTACCAGGGGATGCTGAAGAAGTCAGATTACATCTACAACACCCGCACGGGCAAGAAGGTCAGGGTGCAGAGACTGGTCCGGATGCACTCGGACACCATGGAGGTGAGTGGGCCCCTCCCCAGCCCCTGGCCCACCCTGGGTGGGTCAGCACTGCTGGGTCACCCTGGGTGATGATCCTGAAGCACAGGATGGCCTTTGCTTCGTTTGATCCGGAATTGATCCAAGCTGAGCCCTCCCTCTTGTCCTTTGAATAAAGAGGGAGATTTGCAGATTTTTTATCCAAGCTGGAAGTTTTTAAGGAGCTCAGTGTCAAGCCTTAAAACACAGTGTTTGTGGATCTACAATCCAGGTGGAGTTTGGGTGTGAGGGAAAGACACAATCAATCCTGGAATGGTGTGGGATGGAAGGGACCTTAAGGATCCTTCAGCCACAAGGGCAGGGACACCTTCCACTGTCCCAGGGTGATCCCAGCCCTGTCCAGCCTGGCCCTGGACACCTGCAGGGATCCAGCTGCTCTGATCCCAGTGCTGTGTGCAGAGTTGTTTTCCTTCCCTCAGGATGTGAATGAAGTTTATGCTGGGGACATCTGTGCCCTGTTTGGGATCGACTGTGCCAGCGGGGACACGTTCACGGATAAAACCAGCACTGCCATCTCCATGGTGAGCCCCTGGCCCTGGCTGCCTCAGGCACTGCCAGCCACCAGGATTTTGCTGGAATTTATAATCCCCTTTTCCTTGGCCACACAGGAATCCATCCATGTCCCTGATCCCGTCATTTCTGTGGCTATGAAGCCTTCCAACAAGGTAGGAGCCTCTGGACCAACCTCTTCCCTCCCTTTGCTGCTTTGTGATTTCATGGAACAGTCTAAGCACTGTTGGAAAGTGTTTTATCCCAAATATCCAAGACTTTATCCTTTGGATAACCCAGGACTGGATGCTGTCACTCAGCCAGAAACATGAGTTTGAAATAAATAATTAACACTTTAATCAAGAGTTATAAATCTCCCATAAAATAACCCAGAGAGCAGAAATGCTCAGCATGGATGGGAAAACTTGGGGCTTTTTTCCTTGGAGTGACTGATGGGTGTTGAGTAAATCTTGGCTGGTGTTTCAGAATGACCTGGATAAGTTTTCCAAAGGCCTGGGCCGCTTCACCAGGGAGGATCCCACCTTCAGGATCCACTTTGATGAGGAGAGCAAGGAGACCATTGTGTCTGGCATGGGGGAGCTGCACCTGGAGATCTATGCCCAGGTAACTGGGGGGGCACATCCATGGACTCTGCTTCTGCCTCTTCTCCCATCTCCTCTTCCTCCTCCCTGCTCCTTCCAGCTGCTCAGGGAAAAGTTGGACTTTTAAGTCAACATTTGAAGGTTCTTTCTCTCCAGTGGTTCTATTCTGAAGGTTTCTAAAAGGAAATTTTGTCTGGAATATTTTTAGGATTTGGTACAATCCATAAAAATGCATTAAACACTTTGCTCTAGTAGCCTTTGCTTCTGATAATTAATAATACCGAATTATAATTAATTTCTACAGAAAAATCCTCTTTTTCTGTGGTTTTAAATGTATCATTCCCTAATAAAAGCTGGTGTAGGGAGAAAGGAGTAGTTAGAGGGATTTGCTTCTTTCCTGATGTCTATATTTTAATCTTAACACAAAAAGATGTATCTTAAATATTGACAAAATGAAGAAAAAAGTGATTTTTGCCTTGAAAAACTTGAATTTTAATAACATAATTAATTTTGTTTCCTTTCCTTGCATCTGAAGATGCATGTCTTGAAGAAGTTGATGGGGAATAATTTGGTAATTTAAAAAAAAAAAACAAAAAGCCCTAAAAATCAACCCAACCCCCAACCAAAAACGTGATTAATCCTGATGAAGTTACTAAATAGATCCCAAAGGAATAACCCTAACCAGTGTGGGTTTCCTCCTGCAGAGGATGGAGAGGGAATATGGCTGTCCTTGCACCATGGGGAAGCCCAAAGTGTCCTTCAGGGAGAACATCTGCGCCCCTGTGCCGTGAGTATTCCTGCTGGGAATTGCTGCATCCATCCCTGGGAGGGAGGGAGGGAGGGAGGGAGGGGAGCTCCCTGTGGAATTCTGGGATCACAAATGCCCAGGAAGGTTTTATTTAATGTCTG